ATGGACACTTGAGGGCTGTTTTCAACTCTTTGCTACTGTAAATAATGCTGCAATAAACATGAGTGTGTGGAAATTAGTTTATGCTGTTGTTCCTACTTCTGGGATTGCTCGATCATACTGTGTATCAGGGACTTCTTGAAAGTATTAAAGAGCAAGGATGTCAATTTCTAGACTTAAGGTGCACCTGGCTTAAGTCATGGTATTTTCTGTTGCTTCATATGCATATGAAAGTTGGATAAGGAGTACAGAGACTAAAGAGGAATTGGTGCCTTTGAATCACAGTGTTGGTGAAGAGTACAGAATGCCAAAAGAACAAATAAATCTATCTCAGAGGAAGTGCCAACCAGGATGGTGCTTAGAGGAAAGGATGGCAAAAATTTTTCTCACATACGTGGGCATGTTTCAGCAGGCACCAGACCTTGGAAAAAAGACATTATGCTTAGAACAGAAGGCTAGCAAGAGAAGCAGACCCTCAATGCTACACAATGACAGTGTGACTGCAACAATGGGCTTGAACATGGCAGAGATTGTGAGGACTCGGTGTGAAACAGGGCAAAGTCTAGATCTGTTCTTTACAGGATTCTATAAGTCATTGCAGACTTGAAAACATCTAAATCCACAAGAACATCTAGAAGAGTTCAGCCCAAAGACAGAAAGAAGACTGATAATTGCCTAGCAATAGGGGATGGAGGAGCTGGTGATATTGGTGGTAGCTAACAGGTATGAGATTTATTTGGAGGATGATAAACATGTTCTAAAATTTAGCATAGTGATGGTCGTAGAATTCTGCGGATATTCTAACAAGTTTTGGATTATGTATGATATACATATTATATCTCAATAAAAAACAAGATAAACTTGAAACCATCAGTGACTTCTAGGGTCAGATGAAAAGCCTAATCCTAAATGATACTGTCAGGAGAACATTCCTTTTAAAATAATTATGTTATATAAATTGAGTTTGGTCTGCAAGTTCAATTTTGGACAATGACATGACTTTTTAACACAAGGATTTTCCTCAAATTTATCAGCAAAAGGAGATTAAAGAGAGAAAAAAAGGCATTCTTGCTTCTATGCACCCATGCATATAAATGGGAGAAAGTGTCCTATGTTCGAGATTGGAAATTTACAGGGTTGGTTTGAGCAGAGCCAAAAGTAAAGAATTTTATGTCTGAGGTCAAAGGGAAGTTGAAATTTAAATGAGCATGCTGGGAAGAGTTGAGATGCTGGTATCAAAAAGACAAATATCTACTTGATTTTGATGAGCTAAATTCTTTAATAGCAAGGTGCTAAGCTGAGTACGGTACCGGGAGAAAAAGGAAAATGCAGATCTGTAGATTCCTGAAAGATTTCTATCCTCTGAGAGTTACTGTTATTTCTGACCTTCAGGCTCCCAGCAGTAAAGGTCCTGCCTAGGCTAGATCAGAGAAGAAAACTATTTTTATCTAAGATTTATAAGAGCCATATTCATTGGCCAAGCATTGGTAAATATGAACTGTTTCAAGAAATTAATATTTCTATAGATGAGTAGTCTACGACTTGAAGGCACCTAACAACAACAACACAGCTAACAGCGGGGGACCTCTGGTGGTGGCTTAATGGTGAGGATTTGCACTGTTAACCTAAAGGAACACGGTTTGAATCCACCACCTGCTACATGGACGAAAGATGGGCAATCTCCTCCTGTGTGACTTACTGCATCTGAAAACTTGCTGGAGGGTCAGCTCCAAGTCAGTTCTGACTTGATAGTACACAGTAACAACAACAACAACATAGTGAACAGTAGGAGTCCTAGTGCTGTAGTATGTAAGGTGTTGGGTTCCTAACCCATAGGCTAGCAGGGAACTGAGAATGGGAATGAGATGGGTAGTCAGTACAAGCCCAAACAGACTCAATGGCTGTGGCTTGTTTTCACCCAAAAACTTACCGTACCTGTGCTTGTTAGGTGCCCTAAGTATATTTTGACTCATAGCAACCCCACATGCCTTAGACATCTACTTTGTGCCAAGTACTCTACAGATATTATCTTATTTAGTCTTTCCTTAGCTCCTCAGGGTAAATGTTTTTAGGATATTTAAGACTCAAAAAAGTAGTTGCCTAAGGCTACACATACAGCTATCAAGTGGAACTCATGGAGGGCAGTGGGTGTTAAACAACAAATCTCCCAATTCATTCACAAACAAAACCAAAGTAAGCCTGTTTAAAACACTTTTTCAAAACCTCCAAGCAAACAGGCAAAAAGATTCCATCTAGTAAGTGAAATGAGTTACTTCAAAGATGGTGAGTCAGTGTAAGGGAACATGCCAACAACATTCTTCCTCCAAATGGGATGACAGCATCCTTGGAAATGTATTTGATTTCTTTCTGCCAAGTGAGGCTCGCTCATCTACCAGAAAGAACATGGGCGTATACGATGTTGTAGGTCCGACAGGGATAGTGAGAGAGGCTAGGAGCTAACTGGCTTGGAGTTGGACACAATGTGAATCTTTCTCTTTTTGGTAAGGAGGAAATGACTGCTGTGTGCACAAGGTCTGGGAGTCCAACAGGCCTGAGTGGAACTTTGCCACTTATTACTTGTGTGCCTGGGCCTTAGTTTCTGTATCCGGGAAGGGATAACAGACAGCTGTTCTGAGGATAAATAAAATAGTGTAGAAAAATCCTCCATAATTGTTAGCTATTATTACTATTAGACCTTAACAACAAGCAAAAAAAAACCAAACAAACAAAAAAAACCCCCCACATTATTCTTATTGCTTTGATTGACAGGAGTTACAAAAAGCTTCCAATAACACAAAGCTATTTTTGCTTAACCTTCAGGTCTTGGCTTAAGTATCTCTTCCTTAGGGAAATGTCCTTTGAGGGCTAGAAAGTAAGTAGACCAGTACACTATAATATTATGAACTATTTTTCCTTTGTAGCCCTTGTCTTAATTAAAATGACTTTTTTTTCAGTTAAAATTATTTAATTGTACATGCTTGTGATTCTTCCCTGCCCTCTTTAGATTTTCAGCTCCATGAAGTTAGGGATATGCCAGTTTGGTTCAATGCTGTAGTCCCAATTCCCTCATATTACCTGGCACTCATGTCATTCTCAACAAATACTTTTTGATGAAATGAAACTAAATTGAACCTACAGAATGCTTCACCTAGAATGTCTCTGTTCTGTGGAAAAGTTAACTTCTTTCAGTCATCAACATGTTCATAGCCTATAGTTTTCTCTATTATTTTTTTCTTTCCTTTTTCTCCTGTCCACTTTGAAAAATAAAAAAAATTGCTATTTCACTATGAGAACATTTTACCAACTGATATGTTGTTATGTTATTATGTACCATCAAGTTAGGACCCACCAGCAGGTTTTCAGAAAGAGTAAACTGCATGGGAGAGGATTACCCATCTTTTCCATGCAGGAGCTGGTGGATCCGAACCACATGCCTTTGGGCCTTTGGGTTGGCAGCGCAGCATCAGGCCATTAGAGCTCCCTGATATAATGGCGCTTTAATCTAATGATTCCTTAAAGTAAGTCTTCAGGGTGTCATACAGCTTCATGGGTGAAAACTCAATCTCTTCCGTTCTGGGAGTTATAATTTGTTTTGAACAACTGAATCATAATCGAATTGGCAGAGAAAAACTTTTAACAATGTCACCTGAAAAGCAACATTTTTTAATAGAAACATTTCTAGGAGCTTGGACAGGACTAGCTAGATAAGCCCAACCTGCATGGACTACATTAATGAAATATGCCCAACACTTCTCCAGCTGATACATTTCCTTCCTGAGCAGTTTGTATTACTGGCTCCGCTCTGTAATTTTTATCCTTTGGGGAGGTCATCCAGAGCTACTAAACAATGACATCAAGTTGATTCTGACTTGCAGAGAACACAGTTACTATAGAATGTCAACCAAGGATGTAGGTTTCAAGAATTTGGTAACATGGGTAAATGGGAAAGGATTTTTAAAAAAAATTTGGAGCAAGCATATTAGTTGCAATTTTGAATTAAAATGTCTAGAAAGGAAGCGGACACAACCTTTGTCAAGCCATGTTGCAAAGTATGCATTTAGCACGACATAATTAATAACAGCATAAGATCTGAGTGCTTACTGTGTGCCTGGCGTTGTTCTCAGGGATTTACATGTATTAGCGAACTTGACCTTTCATATCACCCTCGGATGTAGGTATTCTCTCTAACTATTTTATAGAGGAGTTAACTAAAGTAGAGAGCAGTTTAGTAAATTATCTAACATCACACACTCATACATGGCTAACCTGAGAGTCATATCCAGCAGGGCCTCAAGGCTTCTTTATATTATTTAACCTCCTATTAACATAAAGGTCTCTGCTTACCACTGTTAACAGTCCTAGTAATGAACTGTAGGCTCTCTCATTGTATGCCCTACATTCTGCCTTGCTCCTTACCCACTATGACATAATTTCATAGTCAGGGTTTTAACTTTTCCTTTGGATTCTAGTTCCAGATTCCCTATGGCCTTTGCTGCTTCTTTAACTATGATGCATCATTTTCCATTACGCTCTTTCTGACTGCCCTGAGAGGCACACAGACATACACTGGATAGCAATCAAATACACACAATTTCACTTCCTATTCACCTCAATCCAGTCTTTTTATTTTTTTAAAAAAGTAAGATTCCCAAAGTTTTTAGAATACACACATGCTGGGAGTTTTGCTAACCATCAATGTCAAAGCACACATAGTCAGAGCTGTGATTTAAAAACAGACTCACTGAAAATGTAATACAATGCTCAATAAAGGTTGGCTGCTTCTGGCTGCATTTCTAACAATAAGGACAAATACTCCAAAGGCTTATATTGCCTAACATCTGTTTGCACTAGTCCTCAGAGAATTAAGCAGCTTTTGGATTGAGTAGCAAGTCATTTCAGAAAATGTGGAAGACTTTCTAATGTATTAAGTTCAGGAACAAGCCTGCAGCACAGAGGCTGCACCAAGTCCCTACTGAGGACTGCCTGGAACCCACGGCTCATACCTTCACTCCGTCCAACACGGCTTTGATAACCCCCTTCACAGTCGTCACCATCTCTTTATCTTCTGAGTTCACACCTTCTAGCATCACTTGGTCAGACCAGCGAATGAGGTTGCCAAGACTTTGGTATACTCGGCTATAGCAGGAGGAGAGGGCTGAGCTGGAAGGAAGGAAATAGTTTTAATGTTCACATTTAAAAAAAAACACCAAAAACAAAACTAAAACATGACCATTCATGGAATTCATTAGAATTTCCTAGTGTGGGCTTAATTCCCTCATTTTCTATATTGTTGTTAGGTGCTGCTGAGTCAAATATGACTCACAGTACTCCTACGAAGAACAGATCTGACACACTCAAGCCTATTGCTTAAGTCACTGTGTCAATCCACCTGGTTAAGGGTCTTCCTCTCCTTCACTGTCCCTTATAAGTATGATGTCCCTCACCAAGGAATAATCTTTCCTAGAAACACATCCAAAGTACGTGAGATAAAGCTTCATCATCTTTGCCTCCAAAGAGCGTGCTGGCTGCAGCTTCTCCAAGATATATCTGTTTGTTCTTTGGACAGTTCATGGGATAGTCAGTATTCTTCTCCAACACTATAGTTTAAAGGTGTCAAATCTTCTTCTGTCGTCCTTATTCAATGTCCAGCTCTCAGATGCATAGCAAGTGACTGAAAAGACCATGGCTGGAATAAAGTGCACCTTTGTCTTCAAACTGACATCAATGCTCCTCAATAATCTGTAGGTCCCTGACTACAGAATTTCCCAGTGGAGTATGCCTCCTGATCTCCTGAATGCTGGTAGCAAAGGTGTTGACTGTGGATCCAAGTAAGCAAATCTGAGATATCGGAGGGATACACTAATGAAGATTACCTCAAGAGTAATAGTTTGGAGGTAAGGTGTCGTAGAGTGGTGGTGGTTTGAGATGCAGGGGTGAGGGGCTAGTGTGACTGAATTATTCTCTGCTTGGAATTTTCAGTTGATAGGTTTTTAACAATGCTGAAATCAAGAGTAAAAAACATCTTTTTTTTTAGGTAACATTGATTTTCATAAAAAATTCAGGATACATATATTCTAAGAGGGCGCTGGTGGTGGAGTGGTGAGTTTTAAGGCCTGTTTGTTTAGATTAAGTCAGTTGTACAGGGCCCTGCTAGGCAGTGGTACATACTAAACTAGGATAGCAGCTTCTCAAGGAGCTTGAGAGGATGGAAATATTGGTAGGCAATACATACCTGTCAGATCACGAGACAATTAAAGTCCTAGTTATACCACAATGCTAAAACACAAAAAAGCAGAACCTCTGAGTACTTTCAAGATGATATAGTGATATAGAGAGTGGCTAAAATGAAGACTCTATACCTTCTACATATTTTTAAAGAACTAAAGATATTTTCTTTTAGAATTCGAAACAGGCTGATTTTTCTAGCTTAAATTACTATATTACAACAGAGAGAAAAGAAGAGTGTGCCGCTCCCTCTTCCACTCCCAAAGCATCTCACAAAGAGAAAAACCCCCAAAAATAAATCAAAGAGGTAGGTATTTAAGAACTGAAGATATAATTTTGAGTCACAGGTAAAAATATTATAAAATATAATTAAAACAACCTTGCTGGCTGAAAGTGAGGAGGACTTGAAGCACTTGTTGCAGAAGATCAAAGAATACTGTCTTCAATACAGATTGTATTCTCAATATCAAGAAAACAAAGATTCTTACCACTGAACTGATAAGCAACATCATGATAGGCAGAGAAAAGGCTGAAACTGTTAATAACTTCATCTTACTTGGATCCACAATTAACATCCTTGGTATCAGCAGTCAGATTAGAAGATATACTGCACTGGGAAAGTCTGCAGTTAGGGACATCTCCCAATTCTTGAGAAGTATAACATTAGTTTGAGGACTAAGGTGTGTCTGAATCAGGCCATGGTCTTTCTGATCACTTGGTACGCATCTAAGAGCTGGACAGTGAATAAGGATGACAGAAAAAGACTTGATACCCTTGAGCTGTGGTGTGGTGAAGAGTACTGAACTTTCCATGGACTGCCAAGAAAACAAATAAGTACATTCTGTAGAGGGTGCAGCCAGAGTGCTCTTTGGAAGCAAAGATGATGAGGCTTAGCTTCACATATTTTGGGTATGCTGCTAGGAGAGGCTATTTCTTGGAGATGGACATGATACTTGGAGGGTCGGCAAAGGAGAGAAAGACCCTCAACCAGATGGACTGACATGGTGACTGCCACAATAGACTCTTAATGTGTTAGGTGGTGTGAGGATGGCACAGGATAGGACAGGGTTCAGATCTGCTGTTTGTAATGTCGCTATGGGACACACTTGACTCAACAGCACCTAATAACAACAACAATAATTCTAAAAACAAAGCCATTCAAAACAAAAACCTAAACAAAATTCCAACAAACAGCACTTCAGAATCAGGTAAGGAGGAAACGTAATTCCCAGAGATCAGAAATGTTTATTTAGCCAATTATTCCACTCTGTGCATGTCCCAACAGGAGAAAACTAGTCAGCAGGACTAAAAGTAAACTTTTCAAATCCCATTAGAAACAAGAGAAATTTACAAAAGGAGTTCGAAGAAACACTAAGTTTGTCTGCTTTTGGGATAACGTGAATGAAAAGGGTTTGGCATTACATGGCTTCACATAGTGAAGGAGGATTAAAACAAGAACTCTATAGTCTATTCCTGAGTGTTAGGACATGTGTGGCTCTCCCTCAAAGTGACAGCACTTCTCCCAGCTCTGCTTCCCTCACTCCTTCCCGAAGGGAGGACCACCGTCTTTAAACACGGCCTGCTTCCTCCTGCTCACGCACTTGTACAGGGGATGCCACCAAAGCACCAAATTATAGGCAAGAATTCGATGGAAAGGGGGAGAATACTTCACATGATCCTTGACCCTTAATTTCCATCTGTTTTGGATGGTAAAGTACTAAAGGAATGCGCTGTTATGGAAAGGTTGGCAGTTTGAACCCCCTAGACTAAGCAGTCTGCATCCAGAGTTCAACTACAGAAGCCTTATGGGGCCATTCTAATCGGCACTATCTGATTGCTAGGAGTTGGGACGACTTGGCTTGATGGCAACAGATTTGGGTTTTTTTAACTGCAAGGTCAGAGACGTAAATCTACTAATCACTCTGTGGGCGCGAGATGAGCAGCCTGACTACAGTTGTTTTGGTTTATATGATTAGCTTCAAGTCCACACAGAAACAACGATCTGGGAGTAGATTTCAACTTATTGTGATGCTCAGCAGTCTTCCAAGGCTGTAATTCATAACAGAAGCAGACTGTCCCATTTTTGTTCTATGGAGTGGCCAGTGGATTCAAAATCATGGCCTTTTGGTTAGCAGCCCTACATGCACTGCACCATATCAATGTTATTGTGGTTAAGTGCCTGTGAGTCAACACAATTCACAACAACCCCCTGAATAATCTGAACCCTGCTCTATCTTGTGCCGTTCTCATCATCTCTGAAGTACTGGAGCCAGGTGTTGCAGTCACTGTGTCAACCTATCTCGCTGAGGGTCTTTCATTCTTTTGCTAACCCTCATCTTTCTGTCTCAAGATGCTAAGGAAGGAAAGAGCAGGTCTGTGCTATGAAAATGCCAACAATGAAGCCATCACTAGCCCATTTTAAGACTGCGGTAGAGCTGTCTGTGTTTCTAAGTTCAGAAGGGAAATCTTCCACTCAGGGCTCACTTGGAATAGCAGCTGGTTATTCAAAGGCTAGGGAGACCTGGTGGCAGAGGCTGTAAAGAGCTGCACTGCTAACCCAAAGGCTGAACCTCGATAGTGACTACAATCTATCAAAGGCTCCAAGTGAGAAAAATGGGCTATCTCTTCCTGATTTATGTACAGCCTTGGAAACCCACTGGAGGATAAATTATGAGGTGGTTCTGACTCAGCGGCAATGGGTGAGTGTATTCAAAGGCTAGGGAGCTCTCCGGGTGCACTTCATAGTGGATCGAGCTGCTAATCCAAAAGCCATGTGTCTCTAGTGGTTTGAATCCACCAGTAAGTGCTTCCTTGGGAGAAAAGTGGGCAGTCTCCTCCCGCTGATATACAGCCTTGGAAATGTGATGGAGGGTTGCTCTGGGTTGGAATGAACTTGATATTAGTGAGTGAATGAATGAGTGAATGCTATTTAAAGGCTAGCAGCTGACACAACAGCAATGGGCTATAATAAAACTTCCTTAACAACAACAACAGAGACGATCACCTGACTATCAGTTCTTCCATAGTGTTTGCATATCTGCAAGGTAACTTCTCAAGGAGGAAGCAGCCAATGAAAAATCACAATAGCTACACACTGTACCATCTTTACTTATTGTAGCTACAGTGATCCTTGCCTGGACTGAGAGGTGCTTGCTGGCCACTCAAGGACGGCATGGACAGCTGTTAAGGTCTCGTCCCTCGCACACACTCTGCCCGGCTACTCCTCTACTCTTCATCCCTTGTCCTCAGTGCCAACCTAATTCCTTCAAGTCCAGCTCCAGCTCCTCCTCCAGAAGGCCCCCTTCACTTCTCCAGTAAGTCTCCTTCCTTGGAATTCTCATGGGGTTTCTGCTCCGGATCACAAAATTAGCATTTTTCCTCATAATGTGTACAAGAATGATTTTTCCCACAGATTTTTACTCTCCCAAGATAGGGACCATGATATTTGAAAGGGGTTGTTTTTGTTATTGTTGTGTACCACTGAGTTGGAGCTGACCATTAGCCGACCCTCCAGTGGGTTTTCAGAGGCAATTAATTGCACAGGAGGAGACTGCCCATCCTTCCCTTGAGGAACAGCTGGTGGATCTGAACAGCGTGCCTGTGGGATTGCTGCGTAGCTTCTTGTCACCAGGCCACCAGAGTACAGGATAAAATTTTTAAAAATCTATCAGCATCTGGCTGTACATACTACCCAGCTATTAGTGTGACACTAGAAATACTACTCAAAGGAAAGGAATACTGAGCCCAGTTATGTATGAGCTGGACGCTGGTCAAACTAGCAGACAGATGCAGTGTTTGGTGTCTAGGCTCTGAGAAGACCACACCGCCACACACATGGGCAATGCAACATGTGGTCATCTCAGTGGCTTTTCCTCTTGGGCAGTAGCATGGCATGGAGAAATGCAAACAGAGGCAGGCAAAGTTATGTCAATAACTTTATCAACTCCTCCCACCACCAACTAGCTCCAATGAGCTTTCAGCCAAAGGATCACAACCCACACAAGCCAGCTCAAACTCCAGGATGGAAGCGCCAGGGCAGACAGCTTCTTGGAAATCAAAAGTCTGCATTATCTCCCAGAAAAAGAAAAAGAAGTGCTTTCCTGTCAAGTTCTGAAAGCAGTTTATAAAATTTTAAGCTTCATGGAGCTAAATGATCATTTAGCTACCTCAAAGAACTTAAGTAGAGATGCATTTATCCTGAACAGAAATTATGGAAGAAAAGTAAAAGATCAGCTGGAATCTGTCAATTTCCTAAGAATCATCTCCAGTTAGACTTTCATTTAAAATTATGTTTAAATTCGCTTTTCTTTTAGTACTTAAAACAACTATGAGGGTTCTGTTCATACAATATTTAAGGAGAAAGTATGCTCTCATAATAAAAGCATTGCCTAACAGAAGCTTCTTGGGGGCAAGAACTGGCCCTACAGGTGGTATCTGGCTCCCAAGGAATGCAGGTACAGTATTTAGGAGATTCTGGCTCGACACAGTTCAGTGTTTCATAAATCCCCATTTTGATGGGATTCTTCTCTCTCTTTTGGTCTAATCATCTGAGCATCTGGAGACTCTTAACAGGTTAGATGTTAATAGGGTGTAATGTGATCATAAACAGTGGGTAATGTTATATTACTGATGGTACAAGGAGAAATGAGCCTAAATCAGTGTGATTACTGCCAATCAGCCAATGCAAGAAAATGATTAGAGATAAACATTGTGGCTACATCCCTGGTGACAGCAGAGATTTAGGTCAATGCTGAGACCTCATGACCAATCCTGATCTTGATCTTAGGGCCAGCCTGAGGAGAAGTTCCTGCTCTTCCTGACACCAGCCCCGTTCCTCCTAGAAACTGAGTTGGAAGTTACCCCAACGCAAAATGTCTGCTGGCCTTCCTTTGCTCTGACCCAGCCAAGACCTGCAGAACAACTTACCTGTGCGGAATTCTCGGGTCGGATTGCACCAGGGGTAGAATGGCCTCCAGCACCTTGCTGGCTGACCCCGGAAGCATCTCCAGTACCTTCTTATCAATTGCCATTTTGTCCACAATGGTCTTAAAGTAGCGCAAGGCACTGACAACTTCCTTCTCTTTCTCTTCCAACCGGCTCAGGTTCTGAAAAGAAACGTTAAGCACAAGGAGGGAGAGGAGAGAGATTAAAAGGCACTACTTCGAGTAACAGAAAATAAAATAAAAACTCCTGTAAACTAGCTTGAAATTGATATGAATGGAAAAGGATTTTGCAAAAATGAAGTCAACTGCTTTTCTAAGGCATGCAATCAGGATAGAAAGACTACGCTTGAAAGAAGAAAAGTAGTTTATATTCCTGAATTCCCTTGCTAGAATCAAGACTGATTTGATCTGAGGTCTAGAAAATAACTACTCCTCTATTTCCTAATAAACCACACCCAAATATCACCACTAATCTCATTAGGTATAGGAAGGACTAATTTGCTGATGGCTATAAGATACTTAAGAAACTAAATAGAGAGTCCCAGGGTGCACCCATATCCTGTAAATCAAATCAAGAAACTCTTGGCTTCTTACCTCTCCTATGTAAGACTAGCCAGGGACAATAGGTTACAAACCCAAACCCCTAGAATTCCTCACTATATTTTATATTGCTCAATCCAAAGATGCAACCCCATTTCAACGAAATGATATGCTACTCTCAAATGAATTAGAAATCCACAGGGCTAGCAGAAGTGGAACAGTCTTGGTGAAAAGGTAAAAAACCCAGAGCAGATGGCAATCATCACCACCCTGCAGTGGTCTCTATGCATTCGAGGTCTCTCTGTGCTCCTGAGGAGAGCCCGCCTAGGAAGAAGATAAAACATACAGCCTTGCGCTTTCCAGTATTCAAAAGATAGCCCCCCAATATGTTCTCTTGACTCTAACACCCCTTGTGTTGAAAGTGGGTACACACCCTCCTTTTATTCCTTTTTCTTATCTCTCCCATAAATTTGACCCTAATGTCAATGACTCAGGTCCAAGCAGTTGACAGGGGAAAAAAAATCACAAATAATCTATAAGCAATGTTCCAACGACAGCAACAAAACCAATCACAAGGCAAACAAGACAGAGAAACACTGGTTCTCAGTCAAATGAACATGACAAAGGGAGTGAAGGTCCATCTGTCTAGGTGCTGTGGAGTCGAGTATGACCCATAGCAACCCTATGAAAATGGATCTGAGTCCTGTCCTATTCTGTGCCTTCCTCACAAACATACTTGAGTCCATTGCTGAGGTCACTGTGTCAATCCCCCTGATTGAGGGGGGCTGGGGAAGAAAGAGTATGATATAACGACATTAAACAAAAGGACTTACCAACAGATGTAATCAAGCTGAAGAAAGAATGATTACAGGCTAAGATAGCTAAAGTTACAGATGCTGACAAGAAGAATGGAGGAAAACACAAATATGAGAGGTTTATGGCTCACCAAGGAGATTGCATAGCTTGTTTATAATGTACATAAAGATATATTATCAATAAAAAAGAGCCAGAGAGTGTAGCACCATTGGGACCTGAGATTCCTGCGTCTAGAGCTTCCCCAACCAGAGAGTAAGAGCTGCAATTGCCACAGACAGTGCAAGACTTCATGATCCTAAAAGAGCACGAACAGTGGTGCTGGCAGAGCAGTAAAACCAGCAGACAAGTGTATAGCAGAACTGCAGGTGCCAGGCCCACGAAGCAAGAAAGCCTGGTGTAATGAGTGCCTTTGGGAATTTGTCAGGGAGCAAGGTTTGTGACCCTCAGAGCCTTCAGCTCATGTTGACGGTCAAGTAGTGTGCTGTTGGTGCTTTAAAAATGGTAGCGCTAATTGAGCTTCCAAATTACTTGCCCAAGTAGGGTAGAGGCCAGGCTGAGAGGCCTGCTTTTGGCATGGCTAAGAAGAAGCTGCATTAAATGAAGAATTGTTCCCTTAGTTGTTCCTCATCCTGAACTGTAACTTATTTCCCTAATAAATCGCATAATCACAAGTGTTGTTTAAAATCTGTGTGGTCATCACAACAAATTAGTGAACCCAGCAGAGAAACACTAAGCTCTGTGTGAGGGATGACTGGTGTTGGAAATAGTAGAAAATATTTGGAGTGTGGAGGGAGTGAACAGGTCTGACCCCATAAAACTAGGCTGCTGGTACAGGTTAAGAGAGAGTCTTCCCCCTTGTGAAGTTGGTGGAGATCAGATGCTGTGGCCTCCACATCTTCCACCCTGTTTCTACACGTATATAAAAAGGTAAGAGAAGGTAAATGTATTAGGGATCAAAGTTTATTAGTGGTAACTCGAGTCAAGAGGACTCTACAAGTTATTCAAGTGTTCAGGTCTTTCGTTCATAGGGTCGCCATGGGTCATCTGTGACTTGACAGCACTTAACAGCATCAAGAGGAGGGGGAGGATTAATGAAACAAACAGATTTTTATTAACAGTAGGATTACATAGCTGATTCCAGAAATTGCTGTCAATAAGTTGTATGTCTGTAAAAAGTTGAAATGGTAGGAGTTGTTATGTGCTGTCAGTTACTTGCGTTTCATAGCGACTTTAAGTACAACAGGGCTGAACGCTGTTCTGTCCTGAGCCAATCTTATCATCTCTGATACACCCCTACTACTCCAGTCACTGAGTTAATCCATCTCATTCAGGGTCTTCCTCTCCTGTGCTGTCCCTCTACCTTCCCAAGTATGACATCTCTCTCCAAAGACTGGTCTCTCTTTACAACATGCCCAAAGTATGTTCAATGGAGCTTCAGAATCCTTGCCTCCAAGGAGCAGCTGGATTTCACCCTCTCAAGAATGAATCTGTTTTTCCTAGCAGTCCATGGTATATTCAATACTCTCCTCCAGCACCACAGCTCCAAAGTATCAATTCTTCTATCTTCCCTAGTCATTGTCCAGTTTTCTGATTCATCTCCAAGGTACTGAGGAGCAACAATGTCAGTCTGGAGACTAATGTGCACGTGATCCAGGCCACGGTCTCTGCAATTACTTGCTATGCATCAGAGAGTTGGACAATGACTAGGGATGACAGAGGAGAGTTGATGTCCTTGAGCTTTGGTGCTGGAGAAGAGTATTGAATACACCATGGACTACAAGGAGAACAAACAAGTTCGTCCTGGAGAGGGTGAAGTCAGGCTGCTCCTGACTTCAGGATTCTGAAGCTCTGACATACTTTGGACATGTTGCAAGGCAGGATCAGTCCTTGGAGAGGGATGCCAGTCATGATTGGGAGGGTGGAGGGACAGCGCAGAGAGGAAGACCCTTGATGAGATGGATTGATTCCGTCACTGGAGTAATGGGGATAGGTGTGTCGGAGACAACAGGACTGGCAAAGGATAGAGCATGGTTTAGAACTGTTGTACATAGGGTCACTATGAGTCGCAAGCGACTTGGAGGCATATAACAACAAAAACAAGTAATTATGAAGACCATGGCCTGGATCAGGCACACTGCTGCTATTGAGTACTCTGGAGAGGTCCCTAACAGCAGATTTTCACAATGCAATTAGCAATTAGATTTCCTAGCTGCTGGTACCAAGAGTGTGGATTGTGGAGCCAAGTAAACGGAAGCTGTTAACAATCTCAATCTCTTCACTATCTATTATGATGCTGCCAATTGGCCCAGTGGTGAGAATCTTTCTTTTCTTGATGTTGAGCTTTAATCCATATTGAAGAATGCAGTCCTTGACCTTTTGCAGTGAATTATGTAACAGATATGTTTACAACAATGACAAAAATAAATAAAGAGTAGCCAGTGAGGCTGCTTACTCACAGCCAGACATTTCATGGCCTTCAGGCGCTTGGTCTGGAGGTCTGAGGTATGGTTTTGTGGAATATCTTGTTAAGTAGCCTAATATAGCATGATGCTTTTATTTTATCTCCTAGTTCACGATGGTGCTGTCAGAGAGTCTTAAAAGCTTGTAAGTGATTATCCAAAGGACAACAATTGGTCTCTATTCACTTTGAACAACAAAAGAAGGAGAATCAGAAACAGGAGGACACAAATGTGTGACTAACTGCCTCTATAAACAACTGCCTCCTTTCCCTTAAGATCAGAAGAACTGGATGGTGTTAGGCTTTCACTGAGTATTTTGAAGAAAGACTCCACTGCAGAATCTTGATCAAAAGAGATAGTAGAATTTATGAAGCTATGGAGGGTTGCTGACCCCATGAAACTATTTTTCTGAGGTAATCATTAAAACTTAAACCAAAAACATTCCCTGAACACTAAATAACAGTTTAGTTTAACCTGGGGTGGGGTGGGGAGTGGATGTAGGATGACCATTGATGTGAAACAAATTTTCACTATTCTTGCCTTTAAGGAGTGCCCTGATTGCACTTGACCATGATGATGGCCAATGATGACTTGACCAATGTGCTATTCTAAAGAACTATTTCCACATGATCAAATTGACAACAACAACTTAAAAGATTAGACAGTAATTTGGGGAACAACGTACTGATGTTAAGAAGTCCTGGTGGCTAAATGTTGGGCTCCTAACTGAAAGGTTGATTGTTCAAATTCACTAGCCCATACCTTAGGAGAAAGACAGGTAGCCTCCTTCTAGTAACATGGCCTAGGAAACCCACTGAAGGTTTGTGAGGACTTGGAATCCACTTTGTATCCGGGGGGTTTGGGAATTGATGTTGATGAGGGAAGAACATTTCAGAAAAGGATGGCTGTCCAACTTGAAAAATGTAATCAGTGTCCCTAAATTACTCATGCAGAAAATGTTGAGTTGGTGTATGCTTTGCTGTATATCTTTGCAACTACAGTAAATAAAATTAAAAGAAATAAAAAATATCTTAAAAATGGCTAAATAATCTACTTAAAGAGAACCAATTATATCACATCCGGTGTAAATTAAGGGAGGGGGAGAAGGACAGAAATATACCGTAAGGCAATTATGATGTGGAAATCTAGCTATTTTCTTCTAAAATAATGAGAAATGTCATTTTAAAAGAAAAGTTTTCAGAAGTGGAAACATTTTCCATTTTATTTTATGGGAATATTTTATATATTTTACACACACACACACACACACACACACACACACAGTCACAGAGTTGGAATCAACCCACAGCTGAACCTCCAGTGGGTTTTCAGAGGCTGTTTAAATGC